TGATCTTTGCGATGGGAGATATGATACACCTTTCCATTCACTTTTTAGGACATTGGACACTGCACACCATGATGATTTCCACCAACCTAATTTTCCTGATGGAGCAATTACCAAAGGTGGACCAAGGGAGCCCTGGCATGACATTCACTCTCGGCTTGAAGGCCCAATTGCTTGGGATGTTCTGTTTAATTTTGAACAGAGGTGGAGAAAGCAGGGTGGAAAGGATGTTCTTGTCAACTTCAGAGAGCTTGATGATATTATAATTCCCCCATCTCCAGTGATGTACCTTGATGATTCTGAAACATGGAATGTTCAGTTATTCAGATCTATTGATGAGGGAGCTGCTTTTGGCTTTCCTGATACGCCTGAAGATGCAGCAAAAGCTGGTCTTGTTAGTGGGAAGGATAACATAATTGATAGAAGCATCCAAGATGCTTATATTCATGCTATTCGTCGAGCAAAGAATTTTATTTACATTGAAAACCAGTATTTTCTTGGAAGCAGTTATGACTGGCAGAGTGATGATATCAAGGTAGAGGACATAGGTGCTTTGCATGTCATTCCAAAGGAACTTGCGTTGAAGATTGTAAGTAAGATTGAAGCTGGGGAAAGGTTTACTGTTTATGTTGTGGTCCCAATGTGGCCAGAAGGAATCCCCGAGAGCGCTTCAGTACAAGCAATATTAGATTGGCAGAGGAGAACGATGGAGATGATGTATAAGCACATTGTTCAGGCCTTGAATGCTAAAGGAATAGAGGAGGATCCCAGGAATTATTTGACATTTTTCTGCATTGGTAACCGGGAGGTGAAGAAGAGTGGAGAATATGAACCTTCTGAGACCCCAGAGCCTGATTCTGATTACATGCGAGCTCAGGAGGCTCGACGCTTCATGATCTATGTCCATTCCAAGATGATGATTGGTGAGTAATGGTTTGCAATTTTAGTTCCATCTTATTATTTGAAAAAAATAGTACTAACTTTATTTCTGAACAGTTGATGACGAGTACATCATAGTTGGATCAGCCAACATAAACCAGAGATCGATGGACGGTGCAAGAGATTCTGAAATAGCTATGGGAGCTTACCAGCCTCATCATTTGGCTACAAGGGAACCAGCTAGGGGTCAAATTCATGGTTTCAGAATGGCATTGTGGTTCGAGCACCTTGGTATGCTCGATGAAACCTTTCTACATCCAGAAAGTGAGGAATGTGTGACCAAGGTGAATCGGATGGCTGATAAATACTGGGATCTGTATTCAAGTGAGAGCCTGGAAAGAGATCTGCCTGGTCACTTGCTCCGCTACCCCATTGGAGTGGCCAGTGAAGGGGATGTCACGGAGCTACCAGGAACTGAGCATTTCCCCGACACCAAGGCCCGTGTTCTTGGTACTAAATCTGACTACCTTCCTCCTATCCTCACTACATAGGTGGATTATTCACGTGTTGACTTGTTATGCGAAGTGAGGTAACGAACTCATATATTACTTCAGCTGCGGTTTGTTGTGGAATAATACACGATAGTTACTTGTTTTTTAACATTCCTGTTGGGCATTTTGTTGGACAGTGCACTTGAGTTTGTATGAGGTTTCTTTATGTTGACTGGTCTTTATTGTAGTCCACTCTTTAACATTTTACGTTCGTGTTTTGAAATGCGATTTCGAAAACTAGCCCTGTAATGCTTTCCTCGAGTTTTTATCCCAGCTCCATTTGTGTTGAATTTGGTTCTTGCATTTTCATTGAAAATGAAACAATGAGCTGTTTTGCTTCTCCTATATTTGCACATTAAATGATTTTGAATTAATTATAATTTCTTCAAAACTCTGAGCCGAGAGTCTACCGTAAACCGCCTTTGTGCTTTATTAAAGGCAGGGGTAAGGTCTGCATACACTCTACCCTCCCAAACCCTATATGTGAGACTACACTGGGTATATTATTGTATAATTTCTTCAAAACCTGCAATGAAACGGCAAGTGAAACATCAACTTAAGAAAGCGATAGGACTTGGAAACGACATGTTTGTAGTTGTCATTTGTGCACCTTATGCCCCAATGAGTGATGTTTTGTCGACAATTTTGAAATCGATAGCAGCAAAGTTGGTGAATGAAAAATCAATTGGAGGAGAAAGAGTTGGTCAAAGTGGGAATTTGAAATGAGTGATTGGGATGTGGGAACAAAATGGTGGGGTGGCCTTTTAACGTTGTTGTTTTCATATTGGATGGTTCACAACTATCATTATTGCTATCAATCCACTACTTTGGTCCACCTAAAAAAAGGTGGAAAAATTGTATCTAGTGAGATTTGATGCTATACGTTTTAGATATTAATTCAATATTCAATCAAGTGCACCACTCAATTTTCTTAGAGCATAAATGTCAAAAAAGTTAACATTATACCAATTTCAAAAAATATGTACATAAAATATCTAATTTTACGAAAAAATCATGGATTCACGTGCCACATGATTAAGCCTATAATTCCGCCCCTGCTACTCCCATCTAATTTGATTTTTTTTGGGGAGTGGGGGTTACTATTTGACTGGCTTTACAGTTTACATAAGGATTAAAAACTTTAATAGATAAATAAAATATTTCCACTATCTCATATTATCAGTGCTTTTTTACTCTTAGTCATAATTATTCTTGAAAACTACTAACACCTTAATGGATAACTTTGTTCAAATATCAATGAAGAAAGATGAAATATTAAGACATGAATAAATGTAAAGTAGTCGAAATCTCATCCCAATTAATTTTTCTTAAGGAACATGTACAAGAGAATCATAATAGATAATATGAGACGGAGCGAGTATGTGTAATAATAATTAAGTACCACTCGCTGGAGTTCGCAACAAATCCTGTCGTTAATTTATAAATAGCATGTCATTACATGAAAAGTAAGAATATAAAGATTCAACGTTTCTGAATAGTTAACACTTGTAATTATCTATACTATTCTTTTCTTGTACGGGAATTGTCATTTCTATTCTTAGGGTAGCCCATCTAAGTTTGCTTTCCAAAAATGACTACTATAAGTTTCAACAATAAAAATACTAAAACTAGATAAAGAAGGAAAATCTTTTGCTACAGCTTTTCTTCTTCTTTTCTGCCACATTTCTCAGCCATCTCTTTTGGTTTTTGTTAGGTTTCGTGAACGGGGTGAATGCGAAATGGAAGAGACACCTTTTGAATTAAACCTCTTTATCATATTCTTCCATTGTCTAATTAGAGGCTTTGCCTCATTTTTCAGACATGGAAAATCTGAAAAATTCTCCATTGTTGCATTGATTTTTCAAATAAATAAAGTGTCAAGTGTGATTTGCTCTGTTTGTTGATCAGTTCGCTGAAGTTCTATAGTTTCGATTTCCAGTTGTTGGGAATAAACCCCTTACCAAAATAATATTCACGGTAATAAAGCGGAATAATAATGTAGCACCGAGATACGGTAATTAACAAGAATAAAAGAGTAACAATGACACCAAGATTTTTACGTGGAAAACCCTTCTGAATAAGGGAAAAAAAACCACGACCCCGAGAGGAGCAACTGATATCACTATAGTAAGGAATTTTACACTTTGTAGGTCGGAGGTAAATACTCCAAAGACCACTACAACACTCAAAAGAAATAACCCTCTTTTGATATTCCCACCTCACTACAATATCGCTCACTCTCTATTTTCCTCACAGACTATTTTCTTATACCTTGTCTGTGAAACCTCACTCTTTCTTTCTCTCTTTGTTGGTGTGAAGAAATGAGAGTTGAAGCTCTCCTTTTATAGCCAAAGCTTCACCCTCTAAAGCCTACAATATTTGACAATTTACACACATTTTTCACAATTCAACAAAGTTGGCTACCAAACCAAAGAAATTCAACAAGGTTGGCTACCAACCAAACCAAGTCAACAAGGTTGGCTACCAAACCAAAGAAAACTCTTATTAGGCACATGCCTAATACTTCTTCAATGAGATGGACATCATCACCAGTATTACAGAATAGTTTTTCCGTTCTATCCAGGGAGGAAGTAATCCATAATCTTGGGCAACAGTGAGAGGACTAAATTGTTTAAGGACATACAAACAACTTGTGGGCTTGAAATTATTTTATATTTTGTTTTATTGAACTAACGTTTTCTTTTCTTCTTTGATTTTTTGGTTTCAAACACAGATTACCAACAATTTCTTTTCTTTTTTCTGATTCAACAACGGCCAAACTCTGGATTTTAGATTAATAATAATCCATACTCGCAGCCGGCGGCAAAGAAATTTTTTGCATCACTAGGCGCAGAAACCATGAACTTGAAGCTTATATGCTCCACATTTTTGCTAATCTAATCTATATATTGATATTTGTAAAAGTTTAAAAAAAATGATTTCGTCGCTAAACAACATATTTTCGTCACTATATCAGTTTAACAACGGATTTAGGTACTTAATATCAAATAATTATATTAGTTACGAATGATTTAGCGATATATATTAGCGACCAGCTTCGTAGCTAAATCTTTTATTCAGTGCTTCGTGGGTTCTAAGGCTGCAAACGATTTGTCATGTGATCCCATCGTATAGGAATGTCTATAGGGGTCCGCCAACTGAAAAAATCCTTCTTTACTCTTAGATTAATTAGCACTCATTTGTTTATCTAACATTATCTAATAAACTAGTGAATTTGTCCGCGCTTCACACGATATAATAGGAAATTTAGAATGACCTTATAAATCAAGTCGCGATAAAGATAATTTTTTGTTTAATTAGAATTATGTTTTTTCGCCACTAACGAAACAATCAAAAAAAAGGAAATAAAATGAAAATGAGTCGCCAGCATAGGAATTGATAAAAAGAAAACATAATTTCTTTTTGGATTAAGAAACCAATAAAACTCCAGGTATTAGCATTAATCCAAACATAGATGTCATTCATGAAAAAAAAAACTCATTATTCAAAAATCAATTGAAGAACTAAATAGACAATATGAAAGTATTCACAAATTTTAACTAAATTCTATCATTTACAAAAAATTCATAGTCATCAACTAAATTCAATATGAGAGGAAAATCCAAATTTTCCATGAGTATTAATGATAATTTCTTGAAAACTCTACTAATAATTCAAATGGATACTATTGTCATCAAGAAAAGTAAAATGCTAAATATGAAGTTACCCAAGACACACTTCTCCTTTCAACTAATGAATCTCTTTTTCTTTTCCACGTAAATTTTTCAAGTCTACTATGAGAAATGATAATTGTAATTGCATCAGTAGTAACTTGCTTCTTCTTTCTCCTCCTTTTTTGTTTTCTCTCCTCTCATTTCTTCCTTTGATCTTCAAGTTGTATAGTTTCTGTCTATATAAAATATACTTCTGAATGACGCATAATTTAAAAGAAAAAACCATTAAATGTTTTTTTGCTATGAATTTGGTCATTTTTTTGTAATTTGGAAAGGAAAAAAAATCTCTTTCTCTTTTGTTATAAATGCAAGTGGAGAATAATGTATGAAGAATTTAACTATGTTTGTCATGCACTTTTCTACCAATTATTCCCCTTTAATAGTCCATTGATAATATAATTTTAATTTTGTGAAAAACGTGATCTATATTTTTTAAATTGAAAAGTAAAGAATAAAATTGAAAGAAATGAATAATGAAAGAAGAGGGGAAAAGGAAAAGAGGAATCACGTGAGAAACAACTTTAATAATATCTGCAAAAAATAAAACAATCCAAATCCAGTAAATTCATACACCAACCAACTTGCGAAAACCAACAAACTTAAAATCAATAAATATGAACAATTATAAACTAAAGAAGGGACAAAGAAACTCCATAAACTAAAAAAAACCTCAAACGAAGGTCAAAAGTACAATATTTCCAACTATAATCAATGTAAATAGGAAAGAGTAATAACATTTGATATAATTTTTAGAATTTATAGTTGGAAAAGGTCCCAAATACATATGAAAAACAAAATAGAAAAATAAAAGATATATAATAATTGCAGAAGTTCATGAGTACGGGTAAAGTGAGTAGAGATGAAGACATTACTTTTCGAGGAGAAGCTTCATGACCATTTGAGAAGATGTAAGTCTTGGTAACATCTGAATAACCATCTTTTGCCTTTTGTTTAAGATCAGGTCACGATTACAATGACCAATAGAAAAACTGCAAAAAAAAAATAGAAAAAAAAAACTAAGATAATAATTTAGGATGTAAAAAAACATGAAATAAGAAATAGAGAATAACAATATACAGACCCATGGAAAAGGATCCATAACGCTCCAAAAAAATGGAAAGGAGTTACCCTATAAGACCAAGTAAAACCAAGAAAGAATGAAATTAAATAGTAAATAAATTGATATAGTAGAAAGGAAAACAAAAAACTCCAATCCTAATAGTGCAATAAAAATCCGTTAATAGAAATTCTACATTTCTTAACACCAATAATAAATACAAGAAATAAGACATATTGGCATAAATCTGATTTTACAATTCGGCAATAAGAATAAGCTTCTTGTTACCAGCCTCCCCTACTTTCAAATCCTCAAACTTACGGTGAACCTGGTAAAACTTGGGAACATAAAAAGGTGTGAGGAANATATATATATAGATAAATAGATAGATAGATTAGGAAACTCAGAAATTTGTGGTTAATGTAACCCCCACCCCCACCCCCACTCAGGGGCACTATGTGATCTAAAGTCAAAGTTTAATATAAGGTCTTTAAAAGAAACTTATGATATATATGTCTATTTTTCTATCTTTTCGAGATACAAAGTTGTTAATAATTCTTTTATAATCAATTTCCTCTAATAATTCCTTTCAATTGATAATATAGCCAACCCGTTTAATCTATCTTGAGACATTGTTAATCTCAAATAAAATTTTATCAATTATAATCTTGAAAATTTTCTTTTCTTTTAGGCAACCGCTATAGAAAAATTCTAGTTTTGTATGAATATCCGAGGAATATTCTTCCTGCCTCTCTCTAAGTTCAAGTTACCGTTATTATTTCATCACAGCTGTCCGCTTTTGGTCGTCGGCCTTTATCACAACGACCGTTGGTCGCTGTGCCATGGTCGACCCCATCCCATGTCTTGCTTATCCATTACCGTGGTTGCAAAATTTGGACCGATACAGAACTGAATGCGGGAAGTATAAACAAACATCTTATAATATATTTAACCAGAAAAATAGATTATGCTCCTGCGAAAGAATCTACTCGTTACGGAATCTCAGGTGTCAAAGTGTGGATTTCATATAGTAAAAAAAAAAAAAAAAA